TTTACATAGGAAATCAACTTTCCTAAGTTGATGTTTTGAGCGCTAATTTATTCATTCTTGGTTTTCATCGATAGGTTGAGAACACAACAAGATGGAACAGGAGTGCAGTGTATGCCAGCCACAGCCTGCACGAGGTGACCATGTACTATCCCATGAGGTCAGTTCGAACATCTTCCTACCACCTCATCCACAACCTAAACTTCAAAATGCCGTTCCCTATCGACCAGGATTTCTTTGTTTCCCCGACATTCCAAGACATTTTGAACAGAACACGGGAAAAGCTGCCTTTGGACTGGTACAAGACTCTAGAACAATATTACTACCGGGAGGAGTGGGAGCTCTACGACGTCCAAACTGATCCGGAAGAACTTCTGAACCTAGCTGCCGACCCGGAGTACTCTGGTATTTTCAATGAGCTTAAAACGATGTTAAAAGTCTGGCAGAATCTTACGGCCGATCCTTGGATCTGTGCACCTGATGGAGTTTTGGAGTTTCAAGGCATTTACAAAAATAATCCTCAGTGCCTTCCTCTTGAAAATATGCTTCCAGCTCTTTCTGATCCTTTTCAGATTTCTGCAGCTAAAGACGTCATGTACAATGAGCCCAGCCCGACTGGAAGCAAAGTGTCAAGTAAACTGTCTATAATCATTGTGGAAAGCAATGGCATCCTAGCAACATATGTGTTCTGTTCAACTTTGATACTGTGTTTGGTTTTTCTTCTAACGTATAAAAAGCCGAAACGACCTTCTTTGCCCACAAGAGAGCATAAACAGTATCTCAAGGGCAGACAGAACATCTTCTTTCATTAAGTCTTTTTGTGCACTTAAAATCTAATGTCGATCAACATATTTTGAACAAAGAAGTTCAGTCTTTTTTGTGAATAATTTCGTGTTCAAAACTGAAGTGATCCAGTGATCACTAATATTATTTTAGAAGTGAAATACTTAAAAAGGCACACACCTCATATAATAACTCCAAATGTGGCGTGTTCAATAATGCACTCTGCCGTAAAGAAACTATAGCCATTTAAATGTCACATGTGAATTTAATGCTCACTACCATAAAGAAACTAGACATTTAAATGTCCCATGTTCAATAATGCAAAGAAACTAGACATTTTGACTAATGCCCTAAATTGAATCAAGAAATAACCATTTATGAAAAAGATCGTTGCATAAATTTTATATGTTATTATTTTTTTAAAAAGCTTTTGTTTTCTTTCTTTGTTTGTCCTGGTTGGACTTTTTATTATGAGAAAAAATGTGAGTCAATGACTGGCTTTAAAAAGGCAGAGAAAAGCAAATGTTTAGCTACAGTGTTGGGGGCAGAATGATTTTTTTTTTTTAAGTTGCAGGTTTCTTTAAGTGTTGACCCCCCCTGTAATTTAGTAGATGTATATTTACTTGGCAGCAAAATGGTGTTAAAGAGGAGTTAATATGTGAGGAAAATAGCAATTTAAATGAATGTATAAATTGTTAAGCTAAATAAATGTATAAATTGTTAAGCTGTTACTATAAAAAAAAAACAACCTTTGTTGTTCTATTTACTTTTTAAGCTATTAAATGTCCTTTAAATAGAAGAAAATGCTGATGAAAGTCGATCGGTCTGGTGTGTATGAGGTCGGTCATGTTTGCAATGTGGTCAGTTCTAATTTTTATAATGCTGTGTTTTATAACACTATCTGTTTGTTTTTAAACTTCAAGAAATTTACAATATCATCCCGGGTATTTACAGTGTTGCATTTTTTTTTTTAAATTATTTCATGTGCTTTGTTAGTTTATCTGTAACTTGCGATGAAAAAATGTTAACGAAACATAGATAATTGTAAATAAAAGACCAGTCAGTCAGTCTTGTTTTCTTTTATTTTCTAAGCTGTGTTGCCACTTAACATAAATTGTACAGTACAAGTGTTTATAAAAAACAATTTTTGGATGATTGCAAATAAAAATTTAACCTGGCTGGAAGCCAAAGAAAAACACCAGCAAAGTAAATAAATAGCTTTGCACAGCAGTGCATCTCTTGGAAAACAAAAAATATTAACTTTGAATCAATGGTGAATCATATGCATGGAGGAACAAATTCTACCAATCTCATTGTTTTTTTCACCTGTATTTGCCACACATTCTATTCCTTATATTTCAATGCTGCTGAAATTTTACTCATTTTTTTTTTTTTAAATTGTATTGGCAACTTTAATTAACTATGACACAAAGAGGATTAAAACATTTGTGCACGCCACATCCTACGTTACATATTTTATTGTACAATATAACAGTAACAGTGGATATAGTAGTTTGTATTGAATCAAGACTTGTAGACTGTGTGATGTCTGAGATTCTTGGCCTCAAGTTTTGTGTTTGTTACTATAATGCCAAAACTCAATGTAGCTACAGCCCAAAAGGTTGTTTCTAATGGAATTCAATAAATGATGAGACTACTAACACAGCTGGTCTTCAAAGACTACCAGTATGTAGGCCTATATATATATATATATAGGCTGATACATATATCAGTAACTGATGTTCAAATGATCAATAAAAAGACAATTTTTTTTTTTTTTTTGTATCAAAATCTATCAAATATTAGTAATTTAATCTGATATTATTAATAAGAAATAATGTTTTCCATTAAGACTGAGAGTATACAAAAAAATGGTATGTTTTAAAGATATATTTTATCATTTGTGAAACAAGAAAACGTTTTTTCAAAATAAATTATTCAAATTAACAATAATTAAATACCTATAGAAGAAAACATAACAATCTTTAGTACACATTGTACATGATTACTGTACAAAAAATGTTTAAATGCATTTCATCAAATTTAATCCTTTTGATGAGCTTCATGTCTTAATTATTTCTTAAAATAAATAAGATTAATGAATATATTTATATTATATTATATTTGTTACGGGAGGAGATTATACCTTTGTCACAGAAAAGGTCCTTCTGGGTAAGATATGACCTGCTGTGACAGATATAGAATGTGTCCTGCGACAGGTGTAAGATGTGACAGATGTATAATGTGTCCTTCTGGGACAGGTGTAGGATGTGCCCTCCTGTGACAGTTGCACGATGTGTCCTGTGACAGGTGTAAGATATGCCCTGCTGTGACAGATGTACAATGTGTCTTTCTGGAACAGGTGTAGGATGTGTCCTTCTGTGACAGGTGTAAGATGTGTCCTGCAAATGCATTCCGTGAACAACTACTTCATACATCTAAGTCAATGTCCCAGGCCCTGAAGATTGGACTCCCAAGATATTTTTTTGATTTCTTCAAACCACTGATCACTAACCATTAAATTTAGAGGGGCAGCAAAAATTGGAAACTGACAATCTTTTTGTCAGTGCTGACCAACAGGCCTACAATTATACAAGCTTCACGGCAGGTCATATTTTTCAATCAGAACAGCGTCATCAAGAAGTAACATGTGAAAAAACTGGTCTTGCCATGGCAAAATCACTCCAAACTGACCAGGGCTACCAAGTGGTTGAGGAAGCAGCTCTCTGGGGATACCTATCTCACATGCGCATTTTATTGCAAAAAATAACGATCCATACTGGCCTTTAGAGAAATTATATGGCTGTTAACGAATTGGAATTGTATGTAGGCTATCATGCCTTTAAACCATTTAAATAAATTAAATTACATTAGCGGTAAGCTAAGATAAGATGTGTAATTGCAAAAAGAATGATTCAATGTTAATTTGTGGAAATAAAAAAAATAAACCCCGGCTGTGGAAAAAAAATGGTATTTAAGGTTTTAAAAACATTGTACAGCTAATGATTAGGAGAAACTGTATACAGTCCACAACAAGACATCTTCTCTTATACGGGTATTTAAAACACAGCATCACCAACACACACAATAACTTACAAATCCACATAAGGATAGTTTTTTGTTTGTTTTTTTTATATAAACTCTGTGAATATACACAAGAATCTAAGACTAAAAAAATATATTTAATAATTGACTATCCAAGCAGATGTTACTTTTCATAGAAAATCTTACTTTTATTTTGTTGTATGACAAAAATTAATTTTTACTTTATCAATGTTCTTTCCAAATTGCCAAGAAGTGTTTAAAAAAACAAACTATCAGTTAAATATGCGTTTGCTTTGTCACTTCTAATGCATGCCATTTTTTTTTTTACTTTTTTTCTTGTGATATTTTTTTTTTTTTTTTTTTTTTGTTAAAAGGGGGGGTGGGGTGGAATAATTAAAATTGAAAAAAAAAAATTTTCATTTCATATATCAAGCCTAAACATATCTTGATCCACTTTTTATTTGATTTAGTATTGGCTTCAAACTATAGATATATTAGAATGAAGTTTAAGAATGGAAATTGAGAAAGTCCTCTGATTTTGTAATGATCTTTAAAATAGAAATAACAATTATTTACAAATCTTATAACAATAAAATGAATATGAAGTGATTATGTGGAAAATGTTTACATATTATGACGAAATAACTTTAAAAAAAATATATTGTTTCTAAAAAAAAAATTAAAAAATATCAATAAAAAAATTTCAACAGACTTAAATAAATGTACATGGGAATCTAGAAAAACAAAATTGTACACTGATGAACAAACATTTTGAATTGCATCACAATTCATAATTAATTCTTTAAAATGTGCCAATTATTATAATTAACAGGAATAATACATATAAAATAAAGATATTTCCATTAAAAATCACTGTTTCAATAACAAAATAATAAATATAGAGTATTAAAAACAAGACATTAACATTTTAATTTTCTCTACATTTGGTAGAAATCAACGCCCCCTAAACAAACAGTATATTTTTATCTTATTGTGGTAGTACTCTTTTAAGATGAACACACTTGATTTATGGTTAGATTATAATCAGGTGGAAACTATGGAAACAATTTTTGCAGGCCCCCACCCCCCNCAATAAAGGACAGACTTTTCTCTGAACATGTTTATCCTGTTGCAATTTCTCTATTAGCTTTGAGACCGAAACACAAAACAAGTGAAAAAAAAAAAAATGATGAAAATTTACTAATTCCTTATTGTACATAACTGCAACTAGTCATAATTGTACAGAACTGCAACTAGTCATAGCCAAAGTACTGCAGTCTATGTGGAGTAGACTACTTCTCAAACCTTGGTAGCCCGGGTTTTTTCAAAGATGTTCTCCTGGTCCATTTCATTAAAATTTAAACTAGGAAGATCATTGACAGCTGAACTGAAATCTCCAGATGGTAAGTTTTGGACAGATGCTTGCATCCGGCCGGTTGTAGCTTGATGCGCCTGAGGGGTAGCTACAGCGTTTTGGACAGCTGCTTGCATCCTGCTCGGAGTAGCTTGATGTGCTTGAGAAGTAGCTACAGAGTTTTGAACAGACGCTTGCAGTCTGGTCAGCGAGGCTTGATGCACCTGAGGGGCAGCTACAGGGTTTTGACCAGGCGTTTGCAGTCTGGTCAGCGAGGCTTGATGTGCCTGAGAGGTGACTAAAACTGGCTGAGAGGAGGATAAAAGAACATGGGGTACAGAAATGTTCAGTTGGGGTCTTTGTTGTTTATTTATCACTGGCATAATGTTATTGCTGACACAAGTTGGTATATTTCTATGCTGCAGAACATCCTTTGATACTGCACTTTGGTCCCTTTCTTGAAATGAAAGTCCCTTTACAAACTCTGGGCTGACAACAGTGAGAGTGGTGTGTTGTCCCTGCTGTAAAGCTTGATTCACTAGCAGTGTTGGTAATGCTGACACACTAGTACTGCTTGTATACTTGGAGGGGGTGGAAATCATGTTGTTCTGCTGTGATGGGTTGCTGTGAACCACTTGTATGGTGTACTGCTGTCCTTGGTCAGTTAATAAAGTCTGCTGAATCTGCTGATTTTGAGCCCTGTGCATAACAACTAATGGAATAACAGGGTTCGGCTTACTGTAAGACTTGATCTGTGCTTGTAAGGTTGGTGATATGTCCGTACCAAGCGAGAGCAGTGCCGGGGCACATGTGGCAATCGATACATCAGAAGAAATCTGCGTGGAAGTCTTTGATAATCTGTCATTGTTTGAATTGAGTGATGGCACGGAAGACGTGGCGTGCGCTGAAGATGTGGCGTACTCCATGATATTTTGAACTGGTTCTGGCTCTTCCAGGTCCTCTGCAAATGAATACCCCTCAGGTGCATTGAATCCCAAGGATGATAGATTTTCATTTTCTGTTGGAATCTGAACACTTTTGTAATATTCTTTACTTCTGAAAAGCTCATTTGAGATTACATCCTCACTAGGCACATCTGGATGCTCAAAAGCTTTACTCATTGGATCTTCTGGTAATGGAGTCCATGATAATTTAGAAGTAGTCTGCAATATATAGCTTTCATCCTCTTTATAATCCAAACCTTCTTCTGAGTCATCATCTAACACCACGGTCGGTACGGTCTGCACTTGACTGTAGTTCTCACTAATGCTTAGCCTATCTGTTGAAACAGTAGATGAAATTCTAAAATGATGGTTTGAGGTCACTTGAATGGGAGCCAAAGCTGGGGGGATTGATTTTGATGCAAACAAATGCTGAGAAAGATCTTGCATCTGTGACACGGAGTCCTCCTTAGGAGCACCTGTGTAAGAGGTTGGTCCTGGCGATGCAGACGGAGACCTGCTTGCGCTACTGTTTTTTCGCCTAACGTCCCGCTGCTGTATTGGCGCTCCACTGAACAATGACACCGGCATAGGGGTTGGTGCAGAAGACTCTGTGAATGTGGTGGAAGATGTAGGTGACAGCCTCCCTGATGAGGAACTGTCGGGGGTGTGTGGGGGGGTGTGCATTCTTGAACTTTGAATCTCCATTGTCCCAACCTCTATGAAGTCCTTTATGTCGTTCATTCTACTTGCTGAACCAAACTCCTGATCCCAGATTTCTTGAACATGTGGAGGCAGTTTACATCCTTTATTCATGTGTACACTGATTATTTTTTTAATATTCGTTATTCTATCTTCGAGTTTAATTTTGACTTTGGCAAGCTCCTCATTTTCTCTCTCCAGCTCATTATTTCTCTGAAATAAAATAAAAAAATAGTCATGAGATCAAACAAATTCCACCAACAAAGAACTTAATTTCATAATGTATTATGAATTAGTAAAACTTGAACTGATAGCCATTAAAAAACCAAGTTTGTAAGTGTATTACCTCTTTTAATTGTTTGGCTTCCTTTTCTTTTTTCTCCCTGCATTTTTTGGCAGCATCTCTGTTCTTTTTCTTCTTAAGCTTGTCTTCTTCACTTAAGAGGGACTGTGATGATTGAGAAAAAGCAATGAATCAATGTGTTCAAAACTGTGTAAAGTAATTTATGCTCCCAAAAAAAATTCATTTAATGCTATAAGAAGCTCTTTTTACTAATCATCTCTCACACGTGATATTCTTATAAAATATATACTCTAGATAAAGATGGAGATTTTTACTAAAAGAAACCACAAAAAAAAATTAAATAAACTTACATCATCATTTTTTCTTTTCCTTTGCTTTGTATAAGTAGGGGAATTGCTATCCTCCATGTTGTAAGTTGTGTCTGCCTGAGCAAATGATGAAGGATATGAATTTACTGTGTTCATTGTCTGGCCCAAGAACACATCCTCTCCTCTTATCACTAAAAAAACCAAAAAACAAAAACTAATGAATGTGAATGATTTAAGCTAAAATTAATGTCAAACCGGCATTAACCATGTATTTTAAGGAATCAAGCAATATTTCTGAGAACAGACTATCATTTTTCAACATCTGCTTCAATATGTCATGAAGATCGGTAAGTGGTTGGATTACAATCTGAAATAGTTTCTTACTCCTGTAATGACAAGCAGCTAAAAAGAGGAATTAAATAGACAAAGTTGCAGGTATGCACACATTTATTAATACACCATTGCGTTCTATGTCCAAAATAAAAAGCCCTGAGAGATTAAGCATATGTGGCAAAGCTCAGTTGTATACTTGAATTTAAATAATTAAATTTAAATGTGGAATTGAAGTCGGGTAGGTGGAAATTTATATCAGAACTTAAAGGATCACCCATGAAAATCCAACAATGAAGAATCAGAATTTTGCCCCGGTTCAGTGTACTTGACCAGGTCCAGGTCACTACAGAAATACAGCCAGACACACATACACACCCACTTTCCACAAAGCCCTCACACATACACACAAAGTAACCAAAATATATCAATAAAAATTAATCCTTAAATAGACTGATAATAAAACTAAGGTTGAACCAATTAATTGATTAATGGACAGATAATTCCACTGCTGAGAAGATTCTTTCATTAAAAAATGCTTAATAAATAATTAACAATTTCAATAATAATGCTCAATTATAAATAATAATAAATTATTAATCAGTAGTGTAGTAGCTTGAATTTGTGATGCCTGCAAGTGCAACAGTCCTTGATTTTGCTGCCCTTAACAAAAAACCCAAGGCCAAGGCATGCAAATACTTCAAATAGCCCTACACATGACATAAGGTTTTTTAATTTGCGGACCTTCATACTTACTATTATAGTATAGACTATATTTTATCTAATCTATCTTATTACATAAATATAATATGAATGGTATGTGAATTATGTGAACAGTACGCCGTGAATATTATTCAGTAATTTATTGGTAGTAGTCTTATTTATTATTTATTAAATTATATCAGTAATGTATGTATCATTGACAGTGAGTAAAGATTAATAAATTGGTCATTGATGATGTTTGAAGGCCGAAAAATTGAACTTGAAGTGATTTGTATAGAGTATAGAAATAGATATTCGAACAATGACGTCAATGTGTTTTAAATTATTAAGGAAACTCGTGCAGACTCTGCAGACTCACCTGAGGCTGAGGTGGTTGATGCTGAATTTTTTAGTTAAAGTCTTCCTCCAATTGAATGAATAGTCCGTAGTACTAGTTACAGACGTGTGTAGACTAAGAGTTTTAAGACTAAGTCTCTTACTGAGTAAAAGACAGTAAAAGTGTAAGACAAAGACTACTACTACTACTACTACCGAGTTGAGTACTCAATTAAAGAATAGTTATCGAGTAGTCAATGATTTATTGATTCTTTTTTACCTAGGCCTAATAATAATATTTAATAGTAGTAATGAAATTACAATGAATAATTCATGTGAGTTAATAATTTACAATGATTATTGCGCTCAATCTCATCGTCTGTTAGTTAGTCTTTAGAACGTTCAGAAAGTCCAGCCAGACGCCGCTACTTAGTCCAAACTTAATCCTCAAATAGGAATTTCCCATTAAATGTATTTTAAAACCATATTTTATGTTGAACGTCCCCAAATGCGTCAACTAACAAACCGGTTGCCGTTTTCTCGCATTTTATTGGCTAGTGTTGGAACCTGGGATTTCCTCCCTTAAAATGGGAAATTCCCAATTTATCGCAAAATAAATTTTTCCGATATTACATGCTTCAAAAAGGTCATAAAAAAATTCACCATTTAAAAAAAAAAAAAAAAAGGTTTTAAGCATTAATGCATTATTATTTTATCTTCCCAAAAAATAGATTTTTAACAACTTATCATGTTGATGCCTTTATAAACTCGTTCTAGCCTCGTCACACTCACACGTCACACGTAGTCAAAGTCAAAGTCAAGATTCAGTTACCTTGCCTTACTGTAACCTTACTACTACTACTATTACTACTAAACTTACTTACACTTAAATTTCAATTAATGAATTAATTCGATTAATTACATCAATTTTTAAATCATAATATAATGTAATAATTTTAAAAAATATATAATTCATACTTTAAAGTATATTATTAATTACACAAATTTAAATTATATCGCATTTCAAGCATTTTTGGGCAGTTGCCCAGGGCGCCATGTTCCTAGGGTGTCATCGACGATCTTCCAAAATATGAAAAATCATTGCGCGTGAAAGCAAAAGAAAGTGAAAAAAAAAAATTTTTTGTTACTTAGGGGAGGGGGGGGGGGGGGGGGGGTCATATGTATGCTGATTGTTCATGCAAGTTAAGAAATACCATTTTATTGTTCACTGTTTGTTTTAAAAAATAACCTCGTTAATAAGCTCATTACCTAAGCCCCAGTTTTTACACAAATGTTTAATGATTAGGCCTATACATAAAAGGGGTGCAAAATTTAAGCTTGTCCTGGGCGCCAGCAAGCGTTGTGCTGGCCTTAGGTGTACCGCATTTCGAATTCAATCCAAAAACAAACTAACTTCACCTAGCACCCCCACACCCCCACCCCTCCTCCATCCAGGACCGTATCAGGAAATTTGATCGAAAGAAATTTCGTCGACGGTAAATTGGTGGACTGTAATATGATGGAACGGAAATTTGGTCGAATCTTCTTTTCAATTTTTACGTTACAATTTTGCATCAAATTTCTCTTTGAACGAATTATTTTGTTTTACTAAATACAGTAAATAGTATAAGAGAGTTCAAAAAGAAATTTGACGAAAATTTTAACGTGCGAACGGAGGAAAAAGATTCGACCAAATTTCCGTGCGATCAAATTACCGTCGATCAATTTACCGTCGACGAAATTTCTTTCGATCAAATTGTCCCGGACACCAACAAATCTTTCGGCTTCGAGTGCCATATATAATAATAATAATATGTTTACATATCGACCATTGCCGCCCGCACATTTCTTTGTTGCCATTTTTAATATTATTTTTATTTTTTAATAATATTTTTATTTTTTAATATTATTTTTATTTTTTAATATTATTTTTATATTTTAATATTATTTTTATTTTTTAATATTATTTTTATTTTTTAATATTATTTTTATTTTTTAATATTATTTTTATTTTTTAATATTATTTTTATTTTATTTTTTTTAAATTATTTTTATTTTTTAATATTATTTTATTTTATTTTTTAAAATTATTTTTATTTTTTAATATTATTTTTTTTTTATTTGATTGTTTGTAGACATACAAAGGAACGAAACTGGTGTTATTTTGCAGAAAATCACACTTTGTGCCAAATAATAAATAAAGGGAAAGATATTTAAAATAAATTAACTTTCAAAAATTCAGCGGATCAAAAGTTCCCTCACCTCCCTTACTAAAGTACAAAGTTATATTTTGAACTTGATTCAATGCCATAATATAAGATACACTTTTACATTTTATCGTGTAAATATTTTCAGTATCAGTAGAGAATAATGGTAACTATTTTTCTGATAATGCTTAGTAAATATGGGATAGGACATGGGGAATGTGTTTATGGACCAAATCAAATAGTATGGTGGTAGGAAGTCTTGGTATTCAAAATTCGAAATTCAAAATATAACTCGAAAACGGACTAAATGAAAAGAGAACATGATTCGCTCTGAAATGTTCGTGAAAAATCTACACTAAAGTAATTTTACAATGTAGCTATGCCTATATTGTCAGTTACAGTTTATTATATTTTCATGCAATGCCAATGACCAATCACAACGGACCAATGATTATAAAAAAAGAAACAAAAAGAGAAGTTTTCAACTTACTTTTTGATGTATCAAATATCTTATTTGGGCGTTTCAAAAAATCATCGAATAGAGAAGTTTGTTATCAGATGATTGTTTATATTTTTTTTCTCTTATGATATAATTTTAAAAAGTAGGCCTGTAGTATGGACGAGAGATTATTTTTACACAACAAAGTCTCTTCTAAGCTTTTCTCCAGAATACGAAGTTACAGAAGGGATTGGATTTTTCCATAAAAGTGAAAAAAACCAACAATTATTTATTTTAAGAGCGGGATTTTCCACTGTATTTCAATTGGGCTTTGATCCAAGCTGGGCTGGCTCTGGAGATAAAAGTAAATCAAATCTCCTCTTTTTAAATGGATTTTCATGTGACGTCTTATAAAATTAACGTATACACTATATCCCAATTAAAAGCCAATTTACATTACCGGTAGGCCCATAATATGAAACTTATGCTATAAGTAATTGTAGTTAATTTAACTTAAGACGTTATGATCTGAGTCCTAGTGCGAGGTGGTGGAGGTAGAGTTGTATTATACTCGGTTTGCTTATTGACGTCACCGAATTTGAAGTTTTGTTCGGGCATGTTCAAATTGTTGAAATTCCCAATATTACTCAAGGTTTTCCATAACTCTTTTATTAGACTCGAAGTTGCAGGGCCGTCGCGTGTGCCCTGCAACCCGTGGGGCTGAAGTGGGTCTCGGATATCTATATAATATCTCGGATTCTTATAATATAAGTTACTATAAGACGTAGGCCAAGTGCTCAAATTTGTGATGTCAACAAAAACGTAAACTATTACTTTTGAATCCAATTAATAAATGATTAATTATGGCTGCAACCAGCAGGCTCCATTATTATTTAAATTTAGCAGCCAGGACCAGGAGGCATTAATTAAGCGTTTCATTTTTTTTTAAAATTGTTTATTATAATTACACTATTTATAAGTACTGCTTAAAGTAGACGGGCAGTGTACAGAGTCAGAGCCGTTGCTTGGGTACTGCAGCCCTTGCTGCGTCTGCAGGGGCCTCCGACTGTCAAATGGCCCAAACTCTTTATGTGGAATAAACGCAATCCGTCAACAGTGAATGCGTTCATTGGTCACAAAACCGAAAAGTGGTTGGGGGCTTACTTAAGCGACGCGACGGCTCTGAAAGTAGGGCTTTTTCCATTCGGGAAAATCCTCAAATTATTTATAGAGTTAAACAAAAATCAACCAATGTTTAGTTTGAGGATATTTCCGTTGCTTAATGAAACTGCAACCAACTCTAAAAAATTTGTTTCACAGACCCAGTTCTACAAGGCTGTGTCCCCACTCCCCACTCCATCACCACAACACAACTTTTCTTTCCTACATTAAATACAAATAAAGGCATTATTAAACTTAATTTCGTCATTAATGATATCCATTTTTTGCTTCTAACAAAAAAAATAATAATAAATAAATAAATAAATAATAATAATAATTTCCACGATTGGCCTATATTATAAAATTCAACAAATAATTATGTCTCATAATCGGCTAATCACGCTATAATTAAGAAGGGCCTATAAATTAAGTTACAAAATTATTACACTTGGACTTATTTTCTACGTGGCATCATTAAGACTATTATAGGAATTCTATATACTTACCTTAGCTACGCCTATATATATTTACCATTTTGATTACCGTAATTAAGCGGAAAAAATACTTATATAAGGTAGCAATAGATTTGTCGAATAAGAGGTAAAATTTGCCTAGCGGTTTTGTCACTCGGAGAGGTAGCTCATTGTGTCAGTTGAAGAGGTAGCTCATGGTGTCACTCAGAGAGTTAGCTCATGGTGTCACTCAGAGAGGTAGCTCATGGTGTCACTCAGAGAGGTAGCTTATGGTGTCATCTGCAGTGTTTCTTGCGGACAATTTTTGCGGGGGGGGGGGGGTTGAGGGTGGCATTTCAGATTTTGGTTGAGCAGTGCCGGTAGCGTAGGGATACTGAGCCAGAAAGGGCAGTTCTCCCCACCCCCACCCCCTCTCCGTGGCTTGTTTTTCACTTTATGGAAGGGCGGCATTCTTGGCCTGCTGCAGAATTTTGCCGTGGAAAAAGGGGGTAGGGGTGGCAAAAGTCTTAGCCCCCCCCATGACGCCACTTACCCTAGCTACGCCACTTACCTTAGCTACGCCACTTACCCTAGCTACGCCACTTACCCTAGCTACGCCACTTACCCTAGCTACGCCACTTACCTTAGCTGCGCCACTTACCCTAGCTACGCCACTTACCCTAGCTACGCCACTTACCTAGCTACGCCACTTGGCATAATGATGACCAGGATCAGCTATAACTCCACCCCTTGACTAACATAATACTAAATAAATAATTTTATGCATTGTTTATAAATGGCAAATAAAAACACTAATTACTACCGTTTTTTAAACAGCACTTCAAACTCGGACACATAAACTTTTTACTACAATTAGGCCAGAAGAGAAAATATCAACAGAATGGGAAACAGCTTTAATACCCCCCCCCCCAATTCACAAGAAAGGTTCCAAACTTCAATGCAAAAAAAAACAAACTACAGAGGAATGTTACATACAAAATACGGACACAACTCATTGCCAAAAGACTACAACCGTGCACTGAACAAATACCAATGTGGATGCAGACAGAACAGATCAACGCCTGATCAAATGTTCACCATCAGCCAGAGTTTGGCACGCACCCAACAAACTGAAAGAACTGATACATAAAACATTCAACAACTCAAAAAGCAAAAATCGAGGTCCAGGGAGAACATTCGAGGGAATTTCAGATTAGACGAGGCCCTAAGACAAAGAGACTCACTGTTTTGTATGCTATTGCATCTAGCATTCGAGAGAGTTATAAGAACAAACATATTATGGACACCCGAGGAACAAAAACAGGATAATTTCTGAGGGAGACCCAATACCCACAACTCACAACCAAAAGGCACTCTCTAGAATGAACGCCTTCAGTATCTTGCATATTATGCTGATGACATAGCACTGTTAGGGAAGAGTATTAAAGACATATCAAAAGCCTTTGTTGCATTAGACGAGGCATCACTACAAGCAGGGCTGGAAGGTAACGAGCCAAAAAAAAAAACACACAAAAAAACCCAATTACATGACTATATTAAGAGACGAACAGACAGATGAAGCCATTAAAACAATAAACTACACATTTGAAAAGGTTAATTTTCAATTCAAATACATAGGATATTCATTAAATAAAATAAATGAATTACAAACAAAATTTAAAGAAAGCAAATCGGCTGGAAACAGGGCATACTTCAGTAATCAGAAAATACCGACTAGTGAAAACATTACAAGAAAAACAAAGAAAACTATTTATAAAACTGTAATCAGACCAGTTGTAACATACGCAAGTGAAACTTGGACCCTGACAAAAATGGCAGAAAACCTGTTAAACACGTGAGATAGAAAAGTTCTCCTGAAAATATATGGACCAAAAAGGGATGAATACGAACCAACTAAGAATTGTACAGTCTATATCAGTATCCCGCGCCAGAGGCGTAGCGAGAGTGTTTGGCGCCCGGGGGGGCAAGATTTGCGCCCAGGGACAACGTTCATTTTAAAGCGCCCCTTTTTCTTTTTTCATCTCTAAAACCCGTAATTTTTATGAATAAAAGAATATTAAAGCACATTTAGGCGCCCCTAACTAGCTGGCGCCCGGCGAATCTGCCCCCCTGCCGCCCCCCTCCTTCGCTACGCCTCTGTCCCACGCTAGTAGCAGAAATAAAAAAAAAGGGGCAGGCTGCGTTGGGCAGGACACTTAGAAAAACAATGTCAAATGACAGTGGAGTGAAGAGAGTGCACCATCAAAACCCCTGAGGAAAACGGCTCAAGGGTAGACCAAGGCTTGGATGGATGATGTGGTTAGGTCTGAGTGGAAGGATGTGGTGAGGCAGGCCGAAGTCCTACGTAGGCTGTAGTGCTACAGAGAAGAATTGATATTTATATTTTTAAAACAACAACAACGACGCGATGACAGTGCAGCGTTGACACCCTGTCCTAGTTGAACAGCTGATCTCGTACTATAAAGAAATTATTGAAAGCCTGTTGCCCATGTTTGATAGTTAGCAAGAACTCATTCAAAAATTTAGGGAAGGTCTATTCATGGCGAAGGGGCGTTCGTTTAACTCCGTATTGTTTCAAGTGTAGACCGCACTTTTCCTCATCTAGTAAGTCTTCAATAGAGGGATTTAAACAAATAAATTCAAATGCTGTATTAAAATAACATGTAAACATCACATATCGACGTTAGAGCGATGATTCATTGGTTCCACCATTTCTTTCGCGTTATTAGATTCAAGTTATCATTTACAACTCTTAAAAATGTTATCATTTACAACTCTTAAAAATGTTATCATTTACAACTCTTAAAAATGTTATCATTTACAACTCTTAAAAATGTTATCATTTACAACTCTTAAAAAGTTATCATTTACAACTCTTAAAAAGGTTATCATTTACAACTCTAAAAATGTTATCATTTACAACTCTTAAAAATGTTATCATTTACAACTCTTTAAAATTTTATCATTTACAACTCTTAAAAATTTCATCATTTACAACTCTTAAAAATGTTATCATTTACAACTCTTAAAAATGTTATCATTTACAACTCTTAAAAATGTTGTCATTTACAACTCTTAAAAATGTTATACAAATGACCATTTTTTTTAAAGAATGTATTTATAACACTTTTGACTTGCAAGTTGACATGCTTGGTGTGTGTGTGGGGGGGGGCAGGGGGTGCAGTGCCCATCCCTAGGAGAGATGCCTTAAGACTTAAAGAAACACTGGTTGTAAAGTATAAATAAATAAAGTACCATGTACTGGTGCGGCTTAAAATTGAAACCGAGAGCTTCCCCTATTTTTTTTAATTTAAAATTTTTTGGGGAGGGGGGAGGGGGGGTTGGAGCAGTATTTAGAATCGAATGTCTGTATCGAGATGTGTCTGAACCATTTGGATCTTTGAATATAAAGAGCGTATAGACATTTTATTAATTGCACTATTTCCCTAATTTTATTAAAATAGTTATCAAAATTACAATTAAGGAGTTTCTTGGAAAAAAAAAGGGGGGGGTGGACTTAACTTGCTCCCGGAGAGGGTGGGAGGGGGCAAAGCCCTGTGAATATTGGCCTGAAAAGTCTTACGACTTGAATTTTTGAAAATGTTGTGCCTGAAAGCAGACTTGTTAAAAATGAGTTTCTGTCGTACTGCTGAAAAAAAATACGCGTCACTGGATTAAATCATTGAAGCGAAGAGAACGAGTCTTGCGTAGTAGTAGTTGATAACATTCAACATTCCAGGGTAAACATGGGCAGAAAGAAGGTAGGTGAACTTAACACTCTTAGGCAACGCT